AAAAAAAAAAAAAAATAAAAAAAAAAAAAAAAAAAAAAAAAAAAAAAAAAAAAAAAAAAAAAGGAAGACCAACCCACATCGCTAAATCTCGATTCTGGCGCTCGCTTTACTTCCATCGGGCTCCAGAAAAGTGGAGTCCGAATGCATCCGCCGGGGCCGCATCATCTCGGTGATGGGCACCGGCGTCGGCACCATCATAGCCTTGGGTGGGTCGCGGGCGGGAAACCCAATATGGGTGTGGGTCAAAATTCAACCACTGGGCCGCAGGTTGAATCGTCCATGCTTCCATTTACCAGGGTTCATGTTGGGTACCTAGGTTTGACCCACATCCATAAACCTCCAAGGGACCGGCCACTGGAGTGAGGTGGGCGCACCATTCAACCCTCAGCTTTCTCTTCTGGACCAGGGATTCTTCCCCACCCTGGGCTCGCGCCCCGAAAGGAGATCAATTGGACCTCAAACCGGTGGTCCAAAGGGCTGCCGCAAGTCCAAAGCTGCGGCACGTTGAGAAAGCAACCTATCTGACCGCTCTCAGCCTTGCTTCGTGTTGACCATTCCAAGCCCTGGTCAAGGCAAAACACACATATCATGCGGCACTTGGCAAAGGATCGCCACGCGAAGGGTAAGAGATCAAATTGACAAATTCGCGTGCAGTTGGTTGGCCTTTTCTTGCCGGTGAACAAAACAACTGGGGTGCCGGGAATGAAGCCATGAACCCATCAGAAACTGGAGGTTCATAGGTGGGGACCTTCGTTCCCCCACTCAGAACTAGCTCAGTGAGCTAGTGCCTAAAAACCCGGTGAGTTTTTGTTCTACTAAGATGGTTGCAAGGGTTTATATGGGCATTCCTATAACCCCGACTAAATCAGGTAGTAGTAGGAGTAGGAGTAGTAGTAGTAGTAGTAGTAGTAGTAGTAGTAGAACCAGTAGTAGAACGATCTACTACATGATCAACGGGGCTTTGGGCGCTGCTGAAGCCTTTTCAGGCTCCAGCATCGCGCTTCGAGATGGAGGAGCGGTCGATGATGTCATAAAACACCTGCGCCAACGGAATGTGCGCTCTCTTTGCTCTCCGCCCCTGGCCCACAAGAGAAGGAAGAGCGAGAAAACACAAAAATAAGGTAAGAACAGTTCCAAAAAATGCATTCACACCAGATTATCATACTTTTAAGCGAACGCTTAAGCAGGGACACGAGAAAGGATCTTAAGCTGCACCCTCCCGGGAAGCAAACCTCCAAACTAGCGAAGAGCCGCTTCCGAAAACTCCGCGAAACCCGCGAAACCGCGCGCGCGCGCCTTCATCTTGTGGAAAATCGGTGCCTCAAGCGAATTTTGACACCACAACTCGGCACAGAGCATCAGTAGCCATGCTGGCATCCCCGGCTGCAAAGTACTTGGACAGCTTGAAGACGTCAGTGACAATGGGCTCGCATTGCTCCCACGTCCTGGAAAAGCGATGCCGCTGTCCTTGCTTTTCCTTCTTTCCAACCTCATTGGCAAGAGTTCAAGGATGCAATCTTCCCAAGACTCCCATCAGCTATCGTCCAAACCGCCCTCCAAACCACCAATTGCTCACTAGAGTGAATTGGACACAAACAGTAGACCAGCTTTCTTTGCCACGAGTCCAGGCCCAGAAGTGACTCAAGTCCAGAAACTCCCAGGAAAATCGTCCATTTGGTTGAGACCCAAGAAAAAATAATAAAAACACAAATGTCCATTTCCTGTTAAAGCCAACAAGGGAAAATAAATAAATCAACATATTCTTAAGCAAATGGAGGAAATGGTAACCCAAAGGCACGTGGCTCTTTCGTCCTTTTGGGTCCCGGAGCGGGAGTGAGACATTAGAAGGCTCGGCTTGAAGCCGCCAGCCCGGGCCCAAGACCCGGGTTGATGGGGCAGGCGCAAAAAATTACGTAAAAACTTCACTTGCCCAAAGGACCTGGAACTAAAAAGTGGTCAGCCATTATCTTTTGGGACCTTGACTAAATATGGGTCTGTCTGTTTCTTTGAAGGGCCCCCCCCAAAAAAAAAATAAAAGAAAAAGTGGCTGTCCTTTTGGTCACCTTCAACTCAAAAGTGTACCCTCAAAGAAAGATACATCCATATGAAACCCAAAACAGGAAAACCAAAAGTGGTCAGATCCGGTCAATTCACCCCGCTAAACAGGAAATCAGCCCAAATTGGCAACTCTTAGAGGTGATGTTTTGATTTAACCACTTTTTGTGCGACAAACAGAGTTGGAACCCTGCGTCGGTCTTGATACCATCGGTGATGCCCTGCTTCACAAAGATCTCGTGGATCTGGTCTTTGTACTCCTGCCCCTTGGCGCGGGTCGCAGCGTTGTCCAATTCAGAGCCATCAGGGGAGCCGTTTCTTGTCCTCCATGGCCCTTAAGAGTCTTCTGGAGCAGGGATATTGATATTAAGACCGCCCGCTACCGTAAGGCGGAGGGGGGTGGGGGGCCCGCCAATTCCAGTTTCTCCCCACAAAGGGACATGGGATGCCACAAATGGAGAGCTCCAGGGGTTGCATTCCCCCTTCCCCCAATTCCAATTTTTAAGGGACCCGGTGGGGAGAAATTCATCTCACTTTCCCAAAGGACCTGAAAATAAGAGGAGATCGTCTTTTTGGAACCTTGACTGAACATGGAAACCAAATCAGGGAAACCAAAAGCTTCCAAAGGTTGGGTTTGGACAGCGAAAATGGAAACCATGGACAAGTGAGTCAGCGCTACCGTGGATGGACGAAATCCATTTCGCACCACCTAAGAAACCCTGGAATTGCAATTCCCCTGCAAATACCGGCAAACAGCGGTTTCAACCATGGTTTCATTTCGTGGCATGCGAGAAGCGGATTTCGCGTCCATCCACAGCATGGGCCGAAATAAGAACTCGGTTGCTTTCTGCTCCCCTGCTACAAGTGACTAACTTTTAGTGGTTTGGTGGAAAACCCACATTCGTTGGCAAAAAGTTAGTTAGTCCGAACAGCCCTTGGCAAAATGCGCCAAAGAGACAATGGGACGAGACGCGCATTCCGCGGCCGCCGAGGCCGGCGCGAGCCCTGAGATGTGATCCCGCTTGGGCCACCAGAACCGGGGAATCGTCTGGCGCGGGGGAAGAGGGCGGGCCCCACCCAATACCACTCCAAGGAAGCCGCGCCTGGGGAAAAATGAAAACACCTGTTGGGGCGCCTGGGAAAAAACATGAAGAATGGGAAAAAAAACGTGAAAAGAAAACACGTTTTGTTGGGGTAGCCTCACTCCTAACATGGCACCTGCCGGAAAGAGTCCCTAGGAGAGGAAAGTGATCTTCCAGGTACCCTCCCACAGGCGCTATGTCAGAGGGAGGGAGGGGAGTGGACTTTTTGAAGGGGAGCTAAGGTCACTCTCCAATGAAGGCGTAATTACCTGAAAAAAACGATTTGTTGTTGGGGTAGTGGACTTGCGGAAGGTCCCGTTCAAAAGAAGGGAAGTGAGAGCAAGCCAGAAAGCCGGGTAGTGAGCGAGGGAGTGAGGTAGCGAGTCAGCGAGGGAGCAAGGGAGCCAGTGAGACACTGGTTGGAGGTCAAAGTTTTGCTCAAGTGCCATGGGGGCATGTCCTACCTGCGACGTTTCAACCGAGTTTGGGTTGCTCCGAGCCCCAAAGAAGCCCACCTTTGGTAGGCTTCATTTCTGGTCCTCCGGGCCCTTTGGGGGCCAGATCCTCGAGATCAGCCCCATAATTAGGGACAAAGAAGTAGATCGCATTGGCAACCCGCTTTTTGTTTCCAGAAGGAAGGATTGCCCCAAATTTGGGGCTGTTCTCAGAAAAGCAAAATCATATCTCAAGTTGTCAAAGCCCTTCAGAGGAGATGTCTACTCCCTACCGATTTATTTGGAACCCCAAAAACTAGCATTTCTAGAGGCATCTCCTTTTTGGGGGAACCTGCTTTCGGGGTTCCTTCCGTCTCAGATGCCCAGTGGCCATGGGAAACAAATGGCATCAGTTTTTGGTTGGTCGACCTTAAAGGGGAACCCTTCCCAAAAGGAAAAAACGCGCACCACGGGGCAGCTGGGTGATTGTCGGGGGGAAACACCACCAAAACCCATCTTCCCTCGAATTCGTGTTTCCCATTTGCCCTCTAGCCCCAGGGACCCATGACACACACCCCCAACCGCCCAATTCGAGGGGCGAAGTGATCGCGTCGAGGCCTTGGACTTGGTCGCCAGCATGGAGTTGCCCACGCCTCGGCTTCTGAGTCGAGCCGGGACCGATGTATTTCGCCTTTTCCTTCTCGAGTCAAGCGAAACCGATCGTTCTTGCGGCACATTTCCGGCAATACCTCTCCTCTCACTAACATGCCACTTCTGCGGAGATACCTGTGAAGGGACTCCCTGTCAGGTGCTTTGATAGTGGGAGTAATTGTAAACCCATTTTGATCTTGGAAGTTTGAGGTTCAAAGACATCATGCCCCCCCCCCCCCCACAAAAAAAAAAAAAACACTCCTGGGCAACCCCCGCCCCGTCCCACGCCCGGGCAAACCTCACGCGTACTGCACGCGCGCCTTCGCTCGCTGGGGCGCCGCGCCCATAGGCCCAGCCCCCGGGCTGACGGGGTGCTCCGGCGGCGACGGCAGCTCCAGCTCCTTCGGCGGCGGCGGCGCCGGCGCCTGGGGCTCGGGGCTCGGAGACCGCGGGGGGCTTCGGCGGCCCGGCGTCCAGTTTTCTGGCAAATCCTACTGACACCATATGATATATGGGCTTTTCAAAATCCAAATCGGTCAGCCCCCAGTGAACGGGACCCAATCCCCACTCAAATAGGTTCTACAATGGGTGGTGAATTCACCTACCCCCAAATGGTACCATTGGTTTTGACCCCCAACAAACCCTGGAATGATTCGATTCCCCGGTAAAGACCAAACAACAAGAATTTCCCGTGGTGTCAAAGCGGTGTAGGATTTCGTCCATCCACAGTATCAGCCCCGGTGCGTTGATAGGGGTTTAGGGAGGTGTACCAAATATG